ATGCAATTGATTGATTATATGTAATTGTTTGAAAACAATTCTGTGCTCATATACTTGTTATTAAGTGTCCAAAATATATTTCAAGCCCTAAAATCTATTTAATATTTCTTAATGTGAAAATGGTCAATTCAATCAATTGTGATTCAATGATTTTGCTAATACATTAATTCAATTCAGAGACAGAAACGAAAAAGTAGAAATAAGTTGCACAGTGACGGCAGCTCTCCAATCCATCTTTTAAAATAAAATGGTATGTACCTGGAACCATTATCATATAACCATCGAGATCTCTTTCTACACGTTGATAGCTAACAGTTATCAAAGTAAACTAGTAATACATATATATATAACTAAAATCTTAGATATCGATCAGACCAAGCTGTAAAGGAAGAGGACCATAATTGATGATAACCACCGAGTCGCAGAACATAGATTAGTATGTTACTGCCGTTCAGATTGTTTCAACAGAGGATTTAGATTTACGAATGGATAAAATCGAAGCCGATCTACTTAAAGGAAAAGATTTTTATAAGCTTTTTTTTTTAAGTACTTTCCAGGAAATTCAAAATTATTACTCTCCGTCGTTTCACACAAGTAAAAAATAGAAATCAGCATTCGCGAAGAAAAACTTGAGGGAAATATTTTTGTAGTAAAAACTCTGTTCGAGTTTATCGCCCTAACGCGTGATATGCATACGAATTTTTAGTGACAACGACTGGTCCTAGTTTTGCTCCGAAAAGAGTAACCAACAGACTAACTAAAATACGAAGCTGGATATGAGACGTAGTTAACTGTCTAACAGAAACTCTACGCAGGGACAATATAGACAGCGGCTCGCCGCAAACACGCAAATACAAACGCGACCCCCATCAACCTTTGAGAACATGTGTGTTGGTTGTTTTTGATAAGTTAATGTCGGGACACAGCTAATATTTTTAGTTAAGAATGAGTGTCCAAGTGTCTGCGCCTCGTCGTCAGCTTGGCCCCTCTAAGCCTGCTTCTCCTCAGTTATTGCTTGCAATAAGTCTACTTCACGTTAAATTGCCCATTGTCAAGGACTTTTCAACAACTTTATATACGTTTCCGTTTCCGAAAGTGTGTGTCCTCATTCAGAGGCGTACTCGCACATGCAAACACATGCAACCACTCTACGACAGTCAAGCCTACCTATACATACCGCACAGGGCAGCTGAGAAAAGACACTGAAATTTCATCAAATTTTAAAACATATGTAATATAATGCAAGTTGCTTTATTATAATCCAACATTTTTATGGATCCTTATTATGTTGATATCATTTGAATTAGTATTTTCCCCATGATATATAGAAGATGCCTAATCCAAGCCGATATTATGTACAGACATGTAAATTGTATGCTCACTGTGATATGCTGAGCCAAACAGCACCTACGACTGCCTCCCATTGCAGCCGAATAATTTGGAGCATATGCTGCATTTTGGGCAATAAAAACGTGTGACAACAACAGCAACAACAACGATGAGAACATGCAACATTAACTTTGAGGCAACTACATACTCATGTATATGTATATGTTTATGTCTGTGTATATCTGTAACTTAACTAAAACTGAACGTACGTGCTAGCAGCCGTCGCTTTTGGAGCCACTGCAACTAATAGTTGCCCTGTCCCTTATTTCCGCCCAGTAAACCTTTTGCTCGCCATTCGAGTGCGTGTAATAACCGGCTGTCTGCAGATACTAAATCAACGCGTTGGGTATTTGCATTCGGGCTCCAGTTACCGCTCACAGAGCACGTTCCCCGACCGCCATTAAGGCAGTCAGTCTAACTGCTTGTCCGAGTTCTTTTTTGAGATTATGGCTATATGTATGTGCGGGCATAATGAAAACGTTTTGTGCAAGCCCCTTGCGAACCCTCATATTATCCCCGAGTACACACATATACACACACACAGGCACACTTCCTGCAATTCCAACTAGTTGCTAACTCTTTAGTTGTTCTTCCTGCCAATGAAACTTCCCTTTAGTTTGGAAAAGTGCTTTGTAGACTAAGCAAAATCCTATTTACTGTCTATCCTCGTAAGAACTTATTCCGTTCCATTCTATTCAAAAAGTGATAGTGATCTTCTTATATCTCAGTGATCGAGATATGCCATTCGATCCCAATGTATGGCCGACACTCCAATTGTGTCCGAGCTACGTACAAAGAACACCGAAAGGTATGTGAATATAGCGAAGCCAAACAATGCAGATTCATGCAGAAAGACTTTCACATTAGGAAGCTATAGAATCCAGCAACAGACGCAGTTTTTTATGATTGCAAAATACATTACTTATCCATTTCAATTCGCGCAATGACAGCAAATAATTTAATTCAATTAATTCCTTTTTTCGGGCTAGTCTGCGGTCAGGCGGAGTCAGCGGTTGTGCTAAGCCACAAAAATTTCAATTTGATAGATTTCTTCTTTGGGATTTAATTGAGATTGATTTAATTTTATCGGATTTGTTTCGACAAAATTCTCAAGATCCTTTACTTTTCAGTTTTAAGTATTTAACCTGCAATTAGACATTTTCAGCAGCTCGTTAAAGTGCTTACGGTCGCATTAATATGTACTGTAAAATGCTTAAAAATAGCTCGTTGCAAAATCTTCAAAGCCATTTGGCTTTGGCCATTAATTTGCTAACAAAACTGGTATTTACTTTGGGATTCTATAAACAATTTCTCACTTGTTAAGTAGCGCTGAATAAACAAATCGCGAATGAACTGAAAATATTGCTAAAATTGAGGTGGGCAAACATCTATTTAGCCAAAATTTTTATTGACAATAACATTTTTCGGCTGTGTATACCAGGGTGAGCGTAAGTCAAGGTGAGAGGGCTGTCGCTTGAATATAATGTCAATAATCTAAACAGATATGGTAATAGTTCCAAAAGAGTCATAAAGTTGCAATACCTCATAGAATATCTGTAGAAATGAGCAGATGTAAGCGAGCAAGAAACATTCATTGATTCATTCACCTATGCATGAGTGTGAGTGTGAGTGTATACAGCGGAATTGTAACACGTATTCAAAGCAAATCCATAATTCACACTAAAAACACAATATTCCTAGGGAATGAGGGAAAATCGATCTCAATAGCTGAGCAAAAATCTACACATTTAATTCTATATTTTTACTGAGCGCATCAAAAATGTGTTTCAGTACTCACGCCCACGCCGAACGCTTTTCTCGCTGCGGCCATGAAAATCCACATGAAAAGAAAAATACATACACATATTTTCTATATTTAGATCATTTCCACTTCTGGTTTATTTTAGATTGACTCAACTTATCTCTTCTTCTTCGAATGTATATAGCCCAGTGGAAGTGAAAAGTCAACTTAAATGCATAGTTTATATATACATATATATAATTTCACATATGCATGTACATATGTATGTATCTGTGCACATATTTCACCTCGAAATATTCAACTGCCATATTTATGATTCTCTTAAAGTGCACTCATATTTTTTGTTTATTTAAAAGACTCAAGTTTCAGAGTGTCAGCGAGTCAGTATATTAGTTCCCATTGCATAAATACAATATTTATAAATGAAAGCTTCACAATTTTAGGGATAGATCTATTTTCGAAGAGCTCTAAGAAGAGCACTTTAACAGGCCGCTGCTATGCCCTATGACGACCATTGTAAATAGAGTATCGAACAGTCAGTTGGACTCACTCACAGCGGTCTTATACGCTATTTTTTATTATTTTGAATTTTTTTGACGTGAAAACTTAATGAATGCACAGAATTTGTACTTGCCAGGTTGCCGAACCTCCCGCAACCCGTCGAGGGCGACAGCACAGCTCATGCAAGTGAATGCATCAGATTATGCATTCTTGTATCTGTATCTGTATTTGTATTTCTATCTGAAGCTGTATCTGCATCTGCCAGCAGCTTCATCTCTCGCACTGGCTGTTTATCTTTATATCTGTGCCCCACTGATACACATGTGCATGCCTTTATATCTGAATGCAAAAGTGCGCACTTTGACATGCAGTTATGCATAATTTAACAATTGCAGGTGTGAAGCCACCAACTGATGTTAGCAGTGGCATATCGGTGGATGTCGCCAAACAGAGCAATATCAATAATTAAATCAAAATCAGTAATGTAATCGCTGTTCAGTCCGCCGACAGCATGTCACACATAGTACGAATGCTTTCAAATTTTTTTAAGGCATGTGAATACCGCAATCATTCGCCCTCGACCTCGCCCAAGAAGTAGTGACTTTGGATGGTTTTAGGAGTCACTCTGGCATATGATTACTGGGCAAAATCAGATTTGATAATAATATAATAATCTGTCTTCGATCGCTCCATTCGATCCACATAATAACGCTGATTATCTTCAGTATATACCACTCCTATTATGGAAGATAATATCTGGTCCTCATACTATCGAATTCTTTCGCAGGTACAATACTACATTTGTTCAGTATATGAATTATAAACGAAATTTGATTAGCTTCGGTTGATGCAGTTAAGGCAGCTATGTATTAATATGGACGGCGCAGGGCGCACGCACAAACGAAGCGGATCGCTAAAGGAATAAAACAGGAAGCAGAGAGCAGAACCAGGAAAATCAATTGATTGCGATGCTGGCCGGTGGCAGCGCAGAAGTTGGAGCTTGTAGAGCAACTGCAATGTCAATGCCAGCGGCAACAGGACACCAGCAGACCGCTAGAGCCACGCCCAAACAAATGCGAAAAAGTAAAACGCCCCAAGCGGGCATTTTGGCACGCAGCAATGCCGGCGAGGGTGGCCCACGCAGTGGCATCACCTCCTCCTCTGCCTCCGCTAAGACGGCCACCATAATGACAGCCAGACCAGGTGGGGAGAGGGGGAATCGCACTATTGTGTCAGGCGGCGGCAAAGGTGGCTCGTCCGTGGGTGCCAAAAAACAGGAGAATGTCGGTGGCTTCGTCGATGGAATCGAGATGTATCTCGGCCTAATTGGCTGGCGTAAAAAGTGCCTATACACATTGTTGTTACTGTTAATGCTGCTAATCATCACAAACTTGGTGCTGACATTGTGGATACTCAAGGTGATGGAGTTTTCGACGGTGAGTAAAGTAGTGAAGTAGTATATTGGCCCTAGCTCTACGGTTTATCCACCTTGCTATTTTAGGATGGCATGGGTCAACTGAAGATCGTTCCGGGTGGCATCCAACTCACAGGCCAGACGGTTATTATGGACATGCTGCGGGCATCGACAATACGCTCCAGGCACGGACAGCCGATATCCATAGGTAAGTTTTTGCCATAAATGCTTCATTTCGATACTTGTTATATAATGCGGTGAGTGTACCTTCATGCTCAGATTTAGTTTATACACTTTATTGGGTCTATTTGTTCTACGCTGAAACCAGAATTAGCGAGAAGTCAAATTAAACAGAAGCAGCTTCTATTTGAAGAATATCCGATGAGGCAGGAAACGTTTTGAGTTCTACTTAGCCAAGCAATTTACTTTTGTCGTCTCCCAGCCTAGGGGCAACTGCCTCCAGTTGAGCTGGACCTGTCCACGACAAATGTGTGCCGTTGTCACTCGGGCCATAAATCAGTAGATTCGCAGATAGGTAGCCGGTAAAAGTTCATACCTTTGCATGCATACGTGTGTACGTACGTTAATATGCATATGTGTCGGAATGTTGCCACTGACATCCTGCAAGGCGTGAATGGACAAGCGGAGGTGGTATCTTATCAAATGAGATCGCAGCTGTTACCGCTGCGGTCTACAGCAATCAAGCGATGTACAATTACAGATAGCCAGCATGTACGATATCCGTGGCTCAGCCAAAGAAGACGAATGAAGGCAAAGGTACGGTCGCATGTAAATGTGCCGTGCCCCCCGGTGCCCTTGCAAAAACGTCTCGTTAAAGACCCAGTTGTCTAGCAATAGACGGCAGAGAAAGAGTCGCACAAAGAGGACAACTTTAAGGCAGAGTGCTACACAGTCTGGTTAGGTTTTTCGCACTATGTCACACCAGGCAATGCAAATTTTCGCATTTGTTTATTTCGCATAGCTGGCATGTCGACATATGCGCCATGTATATGTCGGATTGATTTTTGAGACTGTTTAAATCATATTTAAATGGAAAATAATAAATAAAACTTAGCATTTTCTAACGTCTTTCTAAAGTACTTCGTATAAATTGTATCTCTTTCCTTCGTCGCTGGCGGCGCCATCAACAGAGTCCTCACGTAATTTTTCAATCAATACACGTGACCCGAACGGTGTGCTTGAGAATCATTTATTCCTGGGGCATGATAAGTTTGAATGTCTGTCAGCGGGATTTCGCATCAACGATACCACCGGACGAAATTTATTTTCGGTAAATCGAAATCAAGTCACAATCGGAGCGCACTCGCTTCGCATCGAGGGAGAGGGTGGCGCCATCTTCCGGGAGTCCATACAAACACCGCACATTCGTGCTGAGCCGGGCCGGGAGCTCAGGTAAGTGTTCAATACCTAAGACCCACTGTAGTGTGCTGTTGTATATATATACATATATATAGTTGTGTATATTTGTATGTATATATATACACATACACATTTGGGTTTTTTTACAAAGGCTTCTTTACATGTCAGAGCATGATCATAATTGATTTATACAATTATATTGAATGAAATGCAATAACCTGTCTGTAATAAATACATAAATATGTCCATTTGACTTAAAATTTGTCAGAGTAATTATATCAATTGAAGGAAGCCTATTATGCATTCCAATAAAACGGAATGAAAGTCCGTTAAAAACGTTGAATTCACAGTATGGACGACTAGATACCCTTGCCCATGCTAGTTAGTCTAATAGGATAAGTTTGCATGTGTACGTGATCAAGCCAAATCTGATGCACATGCTTGAATGAAAGGAAGCCTCGTCGTGCGTCACCCATTACGTGACGAAGTCATTATGCCAGGCACGGAGAAAAACAATGCCCAGCACAGAGAGCCATTGGAATGCCGCAGCGAAATTCCATACAGTGCTGAAATTCAACAACAGTAATAAATTTCGTAGAATCCATAACACACATATCTCGCATATGCACCCATGCATATACCCATATGCATACATATATAGAAATATATATATATATAT